ATCTTTGCGCCATCGCGAGAGAACGCATTCTTTTGTACATCAAGTCTAGATTTTTTTATGTAGACATTTTGTGAAGTTGATGAACGTGTAGAATAGTGATGTGAATTTGGTGTCCTTGAAAACAAGTTCAAAATATTTATCGGTGCATTTCTTTCGTCTATGTCATGCATTAAGTTTAAGTCGGATTCATAAGACAAGAAATTTAATGGCAATACTTTAGCATTCACAAGTAAAGGAATAGCACGATCCTTTCTGTTTGCAGAATATATTAAGGGTAGTGCACGTTTTTGAAGGATACGTATTTGTCCAGAAACATTTTACAGGCGTTTCCCCAAGAGACAAGACCATAGGTTAAGCTGTAATCAGTGCATTGTAAATGTTCACAAGAACAGAAGAAGGTATAATGTGTCTTAATTTAGATAGCATACCAATCGTTTTACTTATCTTGCTGGCAACTGTGACAATATGTTTTCTCCAAGAAAGATTTTCATCTTTCAAGACTCCTAAATATTTTACGCAGTCTTTTCGTTCAAGCTTTACACTTTTATAGATGGTTTTCACAGTGACGTGATCAAATTGTAAAGTCAAAATAGCGAGGTTTTTTGCTTGGCAGCGGTGTGTAAATTTTGTAAGTCATCGTATTCGTCGCTAAGAAACTACAAGCTGTTTTCAATTTCCGGCAACAAAAGACCGCCATCTTGTCCCGTCTTGTCCGTCGACTCTTACTTCTCCTGGAGCTTTTACAGGGCTTTAAAATCTTTGGTTAGGGCCTCCAGTTTACTCTTCAGACCATCGTTTCCTTTTTCAAAGATTGAAATTTGGTCATTATCGATGTTATTTGCACGATAGTTACAGTGAGATTTCGCTGCTTTGTACTTCTACGTTTTAACAACCATGTTAATTTTTTCATACCAAGTCTGAGATGAAACATTTCGCACATGAAATGACAATGTTTAATCACTGCGCGATTTCCTCGAATTATACGGCTTTTAAGCTAAACGAAATGTAACTAATTTAAAAGGCAGATCCAAGAAGGCGGATGGTCCAGGTCCTTGTTTATTCATGAATGAAGGCACTGTTTTTGGTATAGGTTAACAATGCGTAAGCCAACTTCATGATTTTATCAGACACCTTACCAAATTTTAGTATTCTTCACTGCACTGGTGCCTTTTGGCGGGAAATGGATGAAATCTGGGTTCTGTGAATAAATTCTATCAGCAATTTGCGTCATAATGACGAAACTTATGCCATGGAGTTGATGAAGATACACTTAGATTTTGGATACGGTGATTAGGTCTAATTTGGTGTTCTTATCACGAGTGGCTATAGAGTTTTGTAGGGGGGATTCAGTCGAACTCTTCCCTTCCTGTTCCCAGGAAGCAAAGAGTAGCTCGGTTAAGACACACGTCACTTTTGTTTATAGAACGGGACGGATTTAACAATTATTCCACTAGGGCGCGTTGGATATGAGATGATAGATAGCCAACGAGGCGCGTAGCGCCGAGTTGGCTATGATCATCTCATATCCAACAAGCGCGAGTGGAATAATTGTTTTATTAAAAACGCCCACAAAATCTCGTTGAATCTCCCCGACTAGAACAAACCGGAAAAGACAAGGGACTTGCGCTATTCACATGTCACACGTCTATCAAAACTGTCAACGCGCGAACGGACTCGCCTGCACTGTATGAATGAAAAATCAAAACATTGTAGCGATGAACATTAGTTTTTTAAAAATTCATCGGGATTCTAGGATTTTACACAGCAGAACAGCTAAAAAACCTGGCAGATGATGTGAAGGAAAAGAATTTTCAAGTGACAGCCGTCGAAATTACTGTGAATTTGGATTTTCGGTGCAGTTATAAAAGTAAGAACAACGGTGAAAAACTATTACCTCGGTCGCTTGTTATGAAGTTGTTTGAAGCCACAAGCTGGTTTTGCTGAACGAGAAAAGAAGCTATACTGCCGCCTCGATTGCTCTAGTGAATGGCTGCATAGCCTGTATTGTAGCTGGTTACTTGTGATTTATATTCTTGATGTCGGATAAACAAGCCGCAGTTATCTATCTACTTGTCTTCTTTCGTAAGTGGTCAAGGTACTTTAGTTCCATGTGTTTTCATGTGTTTTTCGACAAACTTTCAAAGAAGCTGTTGTGGCTTTTTGTTTGTTTTGTCTTTTTTCTGTCGATGAAATTGCATTTGTGGTATTCTAAGAAATGAATCAAAACAATTTGCTTCGGGCGCCGTTCTATCCTTCGCGAAAAAAAATCTCAGCTGTCATATATGGAGAGCATGGTATAATAGCTCACATACCATAACGGCTAAGCCAATCAAAATGCTAGAATCACATTATCCAATGATTCAGTTTTTAATAATATAGCTTATACATATTATATCACCTGTAAGCAACTCTGAAGTAGAAATGTGTGGTAACTTAAGGACTGTTGTCATAACCTCGTGAGGTCTGCATGGTTTTTTAAGGCAAACTTACTCCGCACAACTCACTTTCTGTCTATGTGTGTAAGATATATGCTTTACGGTTCTTTTGGTGATTTCGCAATACTAAAAAATGTCAAAAATTTATTCTATATGGTGATTTAAAATCTTTCTCACCCTTCTCACTTAAGATAATTTTGTCAGGTTCTATTTGTTCATAGGTATTCGTTTTTTGTATTCTGTGTTTTCACTCACGTGGCCAGCATCTATGCAAATTTATTGGAACAAAAGAAAGCGTTTACATAAGAAAAGAGTTCACCTCCCACAGGAGTGGTTTGGGACACAAACATGGCCGCCGTTTCATTGTTTTATGACACAAATGTGGCCGCCATGACGTGATGTGAAAACACACAATACTTGTGAAGTATCTGTCGAGGCCTGGTTTCTGTTATGGCCTGTGGCGGTCTGCGACACCATCGGAGACTGTCTGCGTCGGACGTATTCAGACGATCCCGGACACCACAGACATGTGTTCCCCATTTACGTAAACGGTGGTGGAGATTTAAAGAGGACAGATGGCAATTTTTTTTTGTTGCTCAAGAAAAATTACAAAACTTACAAAAGTTATCCGGTATCGTGTGAACTATATGAACTAACTATAACTATCCTTAATGAAGATGTGACCATCGCAGTTGCCCGATCTTAATGTATTGGTCTTCATAGCTCATTTGGTAGAGTAATACAGTGCTAACGCAGAAACCAGTCCGTTAAAAGGAGGGACCCCAATTTGCTAAATGAATTTGCGTACATCTGGAATGGTCACACCTTCATTTAGACGTGGCGTTACAACAACACCAACGCAAAAAAAAAATCTTCTGATGTCTCTCTACTTGCAGTTGTGAAGTCTAACTGTCAAACTGGCCCCTTGAATTTATATCGATTGTATCAGAAGCTTTGGTAGTTGATACGCTTCGAACAGTTGCCACAAATAACAATTTTGGAGAATTCGCAGTTAACGCTTTATCCATAAAATGAATTCTTGTTACTAAAGTACAGTCACGCAACCTACTGGAAAAACTACAGCAACAGTCTCAATGCATGATGATATGACTTAATTTGACATCAATAGTTTCTTCAGCGATTTTCAGCAATCAGGTACTGATTTATGATGTTTTAAGGTAATGCAACTACAGGCTTTTTGTGGGGATACCAATAAACAATGGTATTTCATTAGCATAAACGACCGCAACGTGTATGAATTCCCGCAATCAACAAGACGATCATGTGCACGAACATGACTGTGGACATAAATACAGCACCGAGAGTAAGCGGTGAGCCATCGGGCAATAATCTAGTACTTATCTCAAAGAAGAGGTGGTGCTCGGTACGTAAGACCCAAGAAGAGCGAAAGAGACTGATAAATCGCACGCATCCTGCATCTAAATCCGGTCGCCATCAAAAATGTTTCTGACTGTCTTGTAATGCGAGGAAGGAGGCCTTGTGCCTCGCTTCTGTGACTTACAAGACCCGTGACATAAATGACACTTTCGTGACAAATCACCCGGATGACAGGAAACCCTCCTTTGCTGATAGCTGGAGAAATACAATAATGATCAGTCACATTAAGCATAAAACCATTTATTTCTTTCAGAAATAAATCTCATTTTTCTAGTTTGGGATAGACATCAAAGGGTGCAAAAAAGAAGAAAAAAATCAAATGAGTAGGATTGAAAAGAATATGATTAATATTAATAATTTTTTTGTACCAGTAGTTTCTATATATAGGCATCGTTTCATTCATTCATTTTCTTCGTCTATAAATTGATGAGAACTTTAGGTAACGGTAAGAGTGTGAACTATAAGGGGGCCTGATCATTAACCAACAGGTACACTGACAAAAAGGTGTTAATTGTATGATCGTGAATGCCTTTGTCTTTCTTTATTTAAAGTTAACTCGCAATTCATAAAATAAAGAATTGAGGTGAGCTACATATATGTGTTATTTGCCGGCCGGGAGGTCCGTATGGGTAAAAAAAAAACTTTGCGCGAGGTACTCAATTCTGAGAGCACAACAACCGGCAAATAGCGTATTCAAATCTTTTTCCAACCCATGATATTTTCAGGTAAATTTTGATTCAGTGTTAAACATGTGTGCGGGTGTGTGTGTGTGTGTGTGTGTGTGTGTGTGTGTGTTGATGTAGCGCGCTACCGCGAAAACGAAATTTTATAGCGTTTTTACATGTAGTTATCGTGACGTGTAATTATTATCACAAGTCAAAGTTTCCTCATTATTAAGAAAGGTGTGTATCTTGAGAGACAAATCTATAAATCTGTTTTCTTGTCAAACAAGTATAAAAGAATCAGCAAACTCGAGAAAAGTTAGTATGTTATTGTACGATCTATCAATGCTCTTCGTCCCTTTACATTAAAGTGCATCTCAAACATACACAGTAATCACCAGTAATCATGGAACCTTCTGCAGGGTAGCTGAAATTGTCTTTCTTTATAATCATTGCAATGGATCGCAGCGCTAAACTATTCCAATAAAATGGTAAGGCTGTGGTAATGACTCCTTGTCTAATTCCAGACGATAAATTGCCAATCATTCTTGCTGTCGTCATACCTATTGTTGTGCTTGCTGTCTTTGCTGGAGGCTTCGCTTGGTGGATGTGGAGGAGAAATAAGGACAAGAAGATGGCGAACCAGGGTGACTAAAAAAGTTATATAACTAAAGAAATTTGTTAGAGCCCTCTGTGCTCAATTTACGAAACAAGCACTACAGGCGAAATTTTGGGAAGGATTTCGTACAAACCCCAACATTTATAATGCATGCTGTAATTTTAAACCTTTTCACACAAATAGCTTACATACATCGCTGGAAACATCTATGCATAATAAATGTATGGGGATGTACGGATATATCACCAGAATTTAATTCCCTTAATTCCTAAAGCACTGCTAGGTAATTATAGACTTCGCTGTTATAAGCTGGTAAATTTTAAGAATAAAATTTCTAGACTATCAAACTAACAAAACCGTGAACATCTCGGAAATATTTGAAAACTGTTTATTGTGATGGCGACCAATCACAACATGGTTCAGGACACACTTACATGCCACAGGACCACAGTCTAATTAAAGAACAGGAAGCTCTGTGGAAGTTCGTTTGCATTTAAATTTAAAGAGAATGTATGAGAACAAACAAAATGGGTTCTAAATTCCGCTTTTTTAATTTTTGAAAAGATTCGAATTAAAATGGCTCACCTGTTTGCTCTGTATGTTACAGATCAGTTCGCTTCTCGAGTCATTTAGAAGCCATTTTGGCGAGTTTTTGACTTTTGAGTTGTACGTACCATAAAAAAAGGGAAAAGTGGTCATGCTTCAGCATTTTACTCCTCATTGATGTCGAGTAAGTGTCGAGTTAGTTCGAAGTAAATCATTAATATGCACATGGGTCGAGTCCGTAACGTCACTCACTGTTATAATTTAGGGGAAAAGTGCGTTCCTCCATATGTAATAGGTGCGTTCCTCCATTCTTATTAAGTGCCCTCCTCCATATATAGTGAAGTGGATAGGTTTATTAATGAGCGAATACTACAATAGGCACAATAGGCTCGCCTCGACTTGCCCGTTAAGTAACTTGAGCCCGGTTTTCGGACCGTCTATTAAAGGAAAATAGGAGCAATCACCTAGCAACGCAAGAAACGGCTTCTTATATCTTATTTAGCGCTAAAACTCGGATACATCTACAAAACACACGCACATATACACAAACGCAACGTAGTTATTACGTATGGAAGAACGCACTTTTCCCCTAAGCTATAACAATGGGTGACGTCATGGACTCGACCCACATGCATATTAATGATTTACTTCGACCTAACTCGACACTTACTCGACACCAAAGAGGAGTAAAATGCTGAAGCATGGCTACTGGGAAACGTCCCTTACCTGAATAAACGGGAGGGTTATTTATTATAACAGAGATGTAAAGTAATCATACCATAGTACAGAAGAGAAACGTAGGCCTCTTATAAAACTAGTTTTTTTGCAGACTTTTGGAATGTTATGGAGGACATTTGTCTTAACCAAAAACCGTTAAAAGGCGTTACAAAACAAAAACAAAAAAAGGGATGAAAAGAAAAAAGCCAAGTTGATCTGTTGTGGAAATTCAACGCCTGGCATGGATGGCAAATTGTTGTCTTTTTTATATAAATCTGACCTGTCCGATTTGCGCCGAGATAATTAGCGACGGAATCAAAGCTCAACCTTAAAAGCATTCCTCCACTAATATCCAGTCGAGCTACCTTAACTAACGGCGTTGTTACTTTAACACCCTGCTAAGTCTAACCTTTTAATTCTCTTATAGGGATAGCAAAAGGAGGAAGGTAATCTCATGTTTTGGTGGTAGCTTCAGTATTCGCAATTAGTCCCTTGATTAATCCGACAAAAATAAGACATTTGACTAGTACTCTTCTTGGCATCGTTATCTTCGAGCAATGTTAAGTCATTTGGTAATATTTTTCCCCAGAGACAAAACATTTTACATTTAACGTCAAATTACTTAATTCTTATATGTGGACGCAACGTGGCTGAGTGGTTAGAGCGCTGGACCAACCTGACCGCTAGCTGGATTTGTTCTCGGTAGTCCCGAGTGCGGTTTGTCGGCGTCGCATGTGAAAAAGCCAACTGGTTTACCTGCTCTAATTTGGAATTCTGAACATCGTTATGTTGCCTTTCAATTATTTGCTTAACGCTCATTATCTCTTAAAAGGAAAACTAGAGGTCAAGATGTGTACACTTTTTTATTTCCAAAAATGACGCAAATATAACTGTAATCACTCATTTAAAAAAAAAGAGAGCGAACGTCGAGCTTGCATATATGTATTCTAATTTACTGTTTTGTTGAACCCTTTTAGGCTGTATGCTACTACATGTGAAAAAACAGGAGAATTCGATGTATGTTTCATGTCAAATAGCTAAGAAAAATAACACATCATATACCCAGTGCAAAAATGGGTCATGTAGCAGCTGCTCGGAAGAGAAGGTAGCAATGGTGCGTTTTCCTGACCCCCCAAAAAACACTAAAACAATTCGAAGAATGACACGTCGTTGTTTCCTGCGACCAATTAGGAGAGACCTTACGGGTTACGAGCAGCTCCTACACTATCCCCATAAATGGCTGCTCGATTACATGTAATATTCGTTTAGTCAAATTCAAATTAGCCTGATTAACCTCCCCTGAGATAAAGTATTCTTTGGAGTTTTGCACTTAAAAACAAGGCTAGTACGGCTAATTTGAATATAAAAAAAAAGGAATATGTCAGTTAATTTTAAGATTGTTTCCCGTAATTTGAGTGCAGTAAATGCGCATTTTTGATAAAGCTGCCTAAATATCAGCCAAGTTTCCGTTTCTGCGGAAAGAGCAAGGCTTGTAATCCTAAAAGTAGTATAGTAAATTAATCTCATTAACGAATATATTAACATCGATCATCTCATAGATTTTTGATTTTGTCTTTTGCATAAAAAGCGGTGGAATACCATATATCTTCTTTCTAGCCTTTCTAGTCTGCTGATAGGAGATTGTTAAAAGTGGTTTCCAGTGTTCATGTGTGACAATGCTCCTTAATCGTGACACCAAAGAAAGCCCTCTTTTATGTAATTTCTCTTTTCGAGGATCTGGTGTGTGTACGATCACATGTAGGGCAAATCTTGTAATCATTCAGATGCGTACAAGTTAGAATTCACATGGACTTTAAGAGGGAAAGATGGTCGTCCTTTTAGAGCAACCACTCTCTTTGGGTTCCTTGGCTTCACTACCATTCGCAGAAACTATGCCAGAAACATGGCTGCAAAGAATATAGAAATGGGGTGGTGGTCGTGGTGCCTGAACGTATGTTAATGAAGATTTTCCCGCATTTTTTTTTTCCTGAGATAAAGAAAAAAGTTACGATATCTTGTGTTGGCGTATCATTCCTCAATTTTTTGAGATTTCTCTCCGAAAACGCGGTAAAACATCCCTACTCCTGAGATGGCCTCAACTCGCCCTCTTTGGGTAAAACGTGTTTCATTTGGACAGATCTGAGTGCTAGGCATATAGTAAAGTATAATTAGCTTCTGTAGACTAAGTCAGGTTAATTGAAAGAGGCTGTCCTTTTTCTTTAAGTTATTTATTCACTTGAATGTCGTGTAGACAACAACCTATCCGGCGAAAACATCCGTTTCTCATCGCTCTTCGCCACTGGGGACGTTTCGCGAGGAGGAAGGTCTGCGACTCAGCGGTAGAAATTCCATACTGATGGCGCAAATCAATGTTTACATAATAAATCCGGTAGTCATGGGGTTCCAAATATAAATTTGTCCAATTTTACGTGTCTTCTGGTCTATTTTGGTAAACTGTTGTGTTCATCTGCCAACGAGTTCAGCAGACCTCGAATGCTTCTTCTCGAAGAGAGTATATTCCACAAATATTGACTGTTTTGATATTGATTCTGCGGGTTTGCATTTGACCTTCGTGGCCTTTTATCTTTTGTCCGTCATTCGTAAACAATAGCTAAAACAATGAAACTACCCCGTCGACCAATCAGCTCTTCTGATCGGATTCTGGACAGATTTTACGTCATCACTATGGAATTTCTGTCGCTGAGTCGGAGATGTTCCTCCGCGCGAAACGTCCCCAACGGCGAAGAGCGAAGAGAAACGGATGTTTTCACAGGCTAACAACAATCGTATGAAGATAAATCTGAAGTCAACCGTCGTTTTGCAGCGTTTATTTTAGATATATTGAACCGGGGCGACTTAAAAAAAGTGTTGTTGAATGGAGATACCTGATAAACAGGTGAAAAACGTCGCAATAAATTAAAAATGTGACCATATTCGTGAGGCAAATGATTAACGCGAGCGTAACAGTACAATATCTCTGTACAAAAATTAGAGTTGAAAAGATTACGAGGTTTTTCGGTTCTGTTCTGGTTATCGTTTTACAGTTGTTCCTTTGCTTGATATTTTGTTATTTTTTTGTTTTAGTCCTGTTTCATTTTTGCGTTAGTGAAATCAAAAGAATGGTACGATTCTCATAAAAGGTGGATATCGACAAAAAAGCAAACAGTCAAGTTTAGTGGTCTTTTCTCGTTTATTTAAGGCTACCGTGCAAGTGGATAATCGTAAACCAGAACAAATTTCCATGAGACAAATGACTTCAGAGGTTTCGTCTGGACATTATATGCCACTGGTTAAGGAACGCCAATCATCTGGCTCACCGAAAGTCATTCCGTCAGTTGACGCTTCATCATTAAGCCAGTATGAACCTTTAAACCCATCATCAATTTCTTACGAGATTCTTCGCCAGAACGTGATTATTGAGAAGATAATTGGCAAAGGTGCTTTTGGTCAGGTTGCCAGGGGAAAGGTTAAAGGCCTACGTGAAAGACAACATGTCACACAGGTGGCTGTCAAAATGTTAAAAGGTACAAGATAGCTTGATTAATCACTGTGTAACTGATAATGTACGAATAGGCTAACGGGAAAATAAAGGAATGTAACACAAACGATTCACAATGAAAACGCTCTTTACCTCACCTTTCAGCTGACGCGCCGGACTCCGACAGGAAGGATTTGTTATCAGAGCTTGAGGTGATGAAGACGTTAAAGCCTCATCCGCACGTCATCAAACTGCTTGGATGCGTCACCGAATCTGGTAGGTTATTTTTTACGTAAGCTGTCTTTAGTCACCAATTACTATGCTGCAAGTAAAGGGTCATTCCTGTTATTTTAATTGTACCTTTTTCAGTCTGAGTCAAGTCTCTTTGTCCGTGAATGACTAAATGAATACATCGTTTTTTACTCAGAGCCCTTGTTCGTCTTGATCGAGTATGTTCCGTACGGGGATCTCCTGGGTTACCTGAGAAAGAGCCGTGGATTAAACGACACTTATTTCAAAGACCCAGATATCAAACCACAAACAAGTCTGACGTCACAACAGTTGATGAAGTTTTCCTGGCAAGTTGCCGATGGAATGAGTTACCTCTCATCGAGAGCGGTGAGCTAAAATATTTGACTATTATGTATTCAAAGTCTGGTTTAGGCTGTCTCCATTTTACCAAGAAAAATTAGATACATACTAACAGTGAAGAACACACTCAGGTCCCCTCACTTTCAGCTACGTCTGCTTTTGCGTTTTGATAAACCCCCTCGACAATGGCGATTTCATAAAACTTATTTCCGGCTGGACTGATGTAGATGAAAAATGTAAAATGAAAAATGTGTGAAATGAAATCTCACATTGCAGATTATTCATCGAGACCTTGCCGCTCGAAATGTTCTGGTTGGAGAAAATGAAACTTGTAAAGTGACAGACTTTGGAATGGCAAGAGATGTGCAAGAACAAAATATTTATGAAAGGAAGACAAAGGTTTGTATTATATTGGAAACAAACCTACAGTATAGGACTGGCACGCAATCCTTTCCAATCCACATTACCTGTGGAGGAAAATACGTAAGGTTTTGTTGATTATGTCCTTGCTTTCTAGGTTTCATGCTTTAAGAGTTGCTCCCAAAACTATTGGCCACGAAGTTAGGGCAGTGTGCGTAAAGCTGATAAAACATTTGACAATCCTAAAAAAGCATAAGAGACTATTTTGCCGGCGGTCACGAAAACATGGGATTACATTGCATATTTTAGGTTTTTATGCTTGTCTGAGTGTGGTGATATAAAGACGTCCTTTGCCAAGCATAAATTTTTAATTCAGCTGCATATAAAAGAAGATTGCTAACTTTATATACCTGATAAAAGTCTTAGAGAACGGCTAAGTTGCAGTGAAAACTTTTTTCGGTTTTGTTCTCCACACTAAGACAGGAAGAAAGGGTAAAAAACAAAGTTGCGTGTAAACGAAGCCTGAGTTTTATTTTTGCAGCAACCGATTATTGTAAAAATTTAAGATGGCTTTCTGACCTTTTATTTCTGAGTATATTTTTCTACCGATTCGGACTTTCTTTTTTGCTAAGATACAGGGAAGCAAGGAAGTACATTACTTTCTCATCATCTTTCACTTCCGCCTACTTTTTGCCAACACGCTATTCCATGTTCGTCGTCCATTTTTCTTATGGTCATTTACTTTGTTGATTTGTAGGGTCGTTTACCAGTGAAGTGGACCGCATATGAAGCCCTGCTTTACGGACGATACACTACCAAGAGCGACGTGTAAGAAAACTTTCTATATATGCATTAATAATAGGGTATTTGCAGAACAGAAGCTCGTCATCGCGTCACGTGAGAAGGAGGAAGCATGCAACACGGTTAATGTCACTGGGTTAACCAGCGTCAATGACGCAAAACTATCCCTCTCCCATCTCTAAACTAGAAGTGAAAAAAATGTGTATTACGTGTAAAGAACCGCAGCACTTTTTTATTTTTATTTATTTAAATTGTAACCGCAGATATGTGTCTTTTTGTCTTCATAGGTGGAGCTATGGAGTCTTGCTTTACGAGATATTTACAATTGGTAAGGTTGTATAGCTATTAACTTACTGTGGTTTTCGAAGTTTTTGCTAAAACATAGAGAATGTTCCGAAAGAAGAAAGGTATTACGTTTTAACATAGTTTAGAGCTCAAGAATGCATATATTATTTGTATATATTTGTGTTTTCCGCGCAAGTCGCCATCGATAACTTGCTGCCTACGTTAGAACCCCGAGCAGTGCCAAATGTGATAATGGCGAGCAACAAGAGCGCTGACCTCATAAATGTCGTGAACAAAAATCGGAAGTTGGCTGCTTTGCTTGACAGGACGCTGCTTTCTAACCCAAGGATTTTGAAAGCCTTTCTTTTAACACATATTCGTGACCTTGAGTCAGATCACCGCTCAAGTAGTTAAGTGGTTTATCTCTGGAAAATGGTTTATTCGCTATAACTTCGGTAAAGATGATGGCGCTGTATCAAATTTTGGCACACATATAGAACTCATCGCCTTCAACATTTTATAGCAAATAGTGTGTTAATCAGTCACGTGATATTCACGTCATCGTGCATTTTACGAAAAATCGTAAATTATTAACCAGTTGGTGGCCGGTTTAAGAAAAGAAATCGAGCAATACCATCTTTCTTATTCAAATTAAGTATTTCTGACACCTGACGTTTGGAATTATCGTGCATGACACTTCGAGAAATTATGAGAAAACATCATTTTAAATGTCCAAATTTAATCTTTAATTATTAAAAACTTGAATTTTGAACTTTGCACACATTCATTCCAAAGGTAGCAAGTTAGGCATGTTTATCCTCTTTCAAAGTAAATTCCCCACCAATTCGCCAATTTCCCACCGATTCCCCACCAACTGGCCAATTTCCATATTTAGAAGTTGAGACACAACAACACCTCAAGATTTACTTTCGGGGAAAACTTATTTTGTTCTAGGTCTCCTAGCGAGAGATATTGCCAATCATTCATTCGAACACGCCTTTGACCCACGCCTTAAACCCCTTGAGTGAAAGATTGACTAGTTGAGAAGCCTTTTCAGATTAACCTCTGGTTGAAATGTTTGACATCCAGGGAGACAATTAACTGTCTCTCGCTACAGTGCGAAAGTTCGCTGACAATTTAATACTGTCACCTTATTACAGCAAGAACTTACACCATGACTTAAATTGACGGCCTTTTGTAGTTTCTCTGGTGCCAAAATGAGACAGATAAAGATGCGAGTGTGTCAATAAATTGTCCTTACAGCCACAGTTAGCTCCTTCCATTTTGAGCAAAAACAGCAACAAAGACAACAACAAATTTTGGGAGAACTCATGCCTTGTAATAAAGTATTGTAACAGCTGGTCACTTTCTCCTTTTTAGGGGGTTCTCCATATCCACGAGTGGATGGCAGGAAGATTGTAAGCTTACTTCAGGACGGATACAGGATGCCTAAACCCCAACATGTTGATGATGAACTGTAAGTAATTCTGTGTCCGCTTCATGGCATTCGGAACGTTTTATTACTATACTGAGAACCTCTCTGACTCTCCATACCATAAATATTTAATAGGATCCTTAAGGATCGTGCGAGGTTTTCACCAGAGATGATTTTGGAAGTCGAAACGCCAGAATGCACAGGTCACAATTTCCACGTCACAGTTGTGGGTACTGGTCGCGTTCCGCAGATAAAGAACAGTCCAAGAGTATTGTCCATCTTCGAGAGAAAATGTAATGATGAACATCAAATCAAACTCCCGAAAATGTTGGACTTAAAGTTAACTGCAAACTCTTATTGGAAATAGCGCCTATTCAGCTCTACCTTAGGCGCTTTACACCACATTCCAAACAATAAGTAAATATTTCACTTTTCAAACAAATAAATAAAGAATTAAATAGTAAATATATGAAAGTTGACATAAAAATGGCCTTATTAACCACGATACGCTTTTCTAAAAAAAAGATGGCTTAAGGTCAGATTTGAAAGTACTTATTATCAATAGTCACACGAACGGATGTTGTCTGCTAGACTGTTCCACAGGTCAATAGCAGCAACAGCGAATGGCTTCGCACCTAGTCTCGCTTTGCATCAGACCATTAAGATAACTCGCAAATGAACTATATATAGGGATGGACCGAGAGAATTGTTGCTCAACATACCATGCATAATTTTTGTGTTGTGACAGGTACAAAATAATGCAACTGTGCTGGCTGGAAGACCCTAACGCAAGACCTTCTTTTTCTGAACTGACAATAAAGCTGAAAAAGATGGAAAACCAACATAAGGTACGATTTAAACAAGAAAGGCCTCGGACAATTTTGAGTCTCCCTTAGTTGTCCTCCTTCACATTTTTTTACCTTCATTAGAAAGTCTGGAGCTGCAAACCTTGGGTAGCCTTATAGATTCTGCCTTCAAAACGTTCTCGTTATGCTTCGTTGGCAGTCAACTACGACCTCTCGCCATGCCTGTTTCTTATAACTAATAAAAGTGAAGAAATAGAATTGTTAACTGGATTGTTTTGTTGTCAGTTACGCGAACAAGCTGATTGTCAGAAATCAATGATTCGCCTGCGTAATTGTGAAAAGTTTTGTCTTAAAGCTAAGAGAAATAGTCCAACCAATCTACAGCATTCGCTTCTAATAAGATTACTTAGGTTTGAAATAACCTTCAACGCAGACGTTTTCTTTTTTTTCCTTTTGGCGGTTCACGTAAACAATTCCTTCTCACTGGGCCAAAGAGACGTCTGCGCAGCAGGCTCTTGATATGGCTTGTTGAATTATAATATATGTTTTTTCTTTTTTATTTACAGGGGCTAATAAACATGAAACTGTATGATAATCAGCTATATGTAAACCTTGAAGACTTGACCGTATAAAACAAAACTATCCACTCACGTGGGTGCCGCGGTCAACAGTTTCTTATGATTCTTTACTTTTTTCAGTAGACCAATTACTTAGACGGTATCCTCATTCAATAAAGTGAAATAAAGCTATAACAATTAAAAAAACATATTTTAAGGTTCAGAAAATTAGACTGGGAATTAATTTTTAAGCGAAAAAAATTACTCAAAAGATTCATGACACTACCGTTTACCCTGAATCGCTCGATAAAGATCTGAAGTGCAGAAGATATAGTTTGTGGAGGTACTTTACTTGACCCACTATATTATACGCTGGCAGACGAGTTTACCACTATTCAGTGCTACCTAAAAAGATGCCATAACCCCAGATAGAAATGTATATACTGACTCTAGCTAGAGCCTATAGAGAAAACTCAGGGGAAAATACTTGTAGAGAAATGTTTCTATTAAGGTACCACTGTTGGTATGAAGTTAATTCCAAGGAGAAAGAAATTAAAAAAAGAATACAATTTTAGGAAAAAATGTAGCAATAGCACCAAACAGTTACAGACCGCTTAAAGATTTTTAAATAAATATCGAATAATTTTTAAATGCCATTTAACGCTGAGACCTATTACTATTTTTGTCATTTTTTTACTATTATTTTCTATAAATTATATCAAGTGATCGTTATTTTTACAGTTAGCTACTATTACGTCAAAAATGCAGCGTTTTTGCAGGTTAATGCACCGTTAACCGAGAAGACCTGGGGACGAGATTGAGTTGTTTTGGTTGTGGAAACAAAAATGGCGGACATTTCACTCGTTTCAAGAGTAAGAACTAGGCGAAAAACTATAGCTAAAAACATGGAAAGAACAGCAAGAAGACAACTCGAAGGGCGACATTTGCTATTTGGAGAATATTTGCGGAGCTGAACAACCCTAAACGTGCACTATCGAAGATGAACTTAACATCGATGGATCGATGGAGGTAAGCATGTTTTAGCTTTGTTTTTAAACTAGGAATTATTTTGAATGAATAATAAAACAATTATTGAATTCGGCTTTCGTATCATATGAAGAATTATGGAGATCTCGGAGGGTGTTATCTGCCTCGGCCTACGGCCTCGACGGATAACACCCTACTCGATCTCCATAATTCTTCATAAGATACTCAGCCTCATTCATTAATTGTTAAATATACTTATATGAAATAGAAATAATATTAGTAGTAGCATAAGAAATTATAGAATTAGTTTAGTAATTTATATAAGGTTTTATTTGTGTTAACACGCCCTCCATGTAAACCAGCCAAGTGTTGTTGGGGCTAGCGTGTTTCTTTTGTGATATGAATTTTTAAATAAAGTATTTCACGGGTTTATAACGAACCAATTCAACTACCTGCTCCCAGCTGGCTTTTTAGCTTAATTGGTAGAGCGCTGTACTGGTATCGTAGAGGTCAAGGGTTCGAATCCCGTACAAGCATGAATTTTTTTCAGGTTTTCTTTTCGCAACTGCATAAGTTGCGTATATAACTGCGATGATCTTCCTTAAAATGATTATTGTATATGTCAATAAATCCGCCAAAAGATAATATGTTATTTTTTTATCATTTACTGAAAGACTTGAAGCACTAGTAAGTGCTGTACGAAAACGTCTCATATAATTCTGCAGGATACAAATATCGCTTGAGTGCGTTTATCTTGAGGTTCCTTGAGCCTTGGGATGATCCGAATCAGGCCGTTTATGATCAAGTTTACTTGGATTGTGGTGCATAAAAGGTACTGATGAGTCCTTTTTCAAACAGGATCAATAGTCCAATTTGGAATTTAAAATTACCGCTGAATACAAACATTAACGACACATTTATATAGGGTTAGCCTCGACGTAAGGGACTGGGCAATAATTATCAGGAAGGGAGGGAGGGGGACTGAAAAACTAGAGTTATCTAGCAAAAACTTAGACAGTACCCCCCCCCCCTCCAAAACAAAAAAAAATAGTTCTAACCTCCCTCTGTTATGTTAAAAATAACGTCGCACCCCCCCTCCCACCACCCACCCACCCACACACACACACCCACCCCTCACCGCCACCATTACCATTGATGCCTTTAAGTAAATACCTTTTATATTGTCATGCTACTGTAAGCGTACGCTTACTTGTTGGATGTCATCGTCTGGAACAAATAGTACCTCCCATGAATGTTCAACAAAGCCATCTGTTTCGGAGTCCTCTGAATCCAAATCAGAGTTGTTTTCGGAAGTACTTCTGTGAGAATCAGAGTCGTATTCGGAATCACTGGATAGGAGTTCTGTGTCACTGTCATTGGCACTATTTCTTTCGTTGTTTCGTGTTCAGGTATGCGAGAAATCAAGAGCACGTGCTACCAGCGCAGCTTTACTTCCAGATACATGAAGATTGTTCTGCTTAAGGTAGATCTTAATTTGTCCTGCTGTGAGGGATTTGACTTCATTTTCTTCTTTCCAGTTAATGTCTGGAAGGGTATTGCGTTCAGCTTCCCTTTTTTGAGCTTTCAATGCAAGAAACTCTCGATGTTGAACAAAACTTTTGAGAGTGATTTCATCAACCATCAACTTCTCGCACACCTCCTGCATTTCGTTGGCGTTGGAAGAGGTTAACATACCAGAATCGACTAACTTCTTGACTTGCGCACTTGGAAGTTGTCGATCGATTTCATCACTCAGTCTGGTCACAATGGATGGAATATACCCGCGTGGTAAGGCTGCTGTGTCACTAAGATCAGGAACACGGAACCAATTTGCAGGGACACCAGCTGTCCACCCTTCCTTTTCACACGATTTACATTTGGGCTCAAAAGCAAACTTCAGGTATTCTAAGAAGTAGTGCCCTTGTCGTACATGATCTTCCTTTAGCTTCTGAAGCTTCAAGCACATAGCATTTCAGCACATCTTTTCACGTTTATCAGCAGATGCCTTCCTCCACATTTCGAATAAAACTTAAGGCCCCCCCTCCGTCAAATGAGTGATTTTACTTCGAGCCCCCCCCCTATCTTGGCAGCAATTTTATGTAATGCACCCCTCTAATTATTGCACAGTCCCTAATCAGACATTCTAGCAAGTAAGTGTTTGAAATTTGAGTATACACAATAGACAGAGTAATAAACAGGTTTTTTTTCTCGTTGGAATTTGTGAATAGATTACTTCGGATGGAGGCTGAGCCTCTAAAAAATTCGTCTTCACTTCTTTAATTCAGCGGTCATGGCGAACTCGAAACTGTACTATTTTGGGGGGCCTCTAATGCACCATCATGCGAGTGAACTGGACCATAAATCCTGGTACCGATCATTGCAAGGATGGTACCCGCCCTTATGACTTAGCTTTTCCATTCCATAGTCTGAAATTTAATCCCGAAGTTTTAAGTCCAAAATCAAAAATACTTTTTCATTATTATTTCAAAGTTTACGCTGTTGTCTCTGGTAGCATTCCTTATCGATTTCTACTTGTCTTCTTTAACTGGAAAAGTGAATTTACGTCATTACGGTTATGGCATTGATGAGATCATCCCGAAGAAAAGAATTATTGGTTGAGTTAGTTAGTTAGTTATGGCGCAGATAGGATTGTTTATTATTTGGGTTCCTTAGCTAGGATGGGGTTGCTAAAGAGAAAGTTCCTATTTCAGATGTCCAGAGGTTGGCATCACTGTGTCTGCTTCAGCAATAATGTATGTGGATTGCATGCATGCGGTGATGCTGAAGCCTGCCTCAGTTCATTTCACTTTTATCTCAGATTATGGCTACCTTATTTAGTAAAAAAAGATCGAACATTAAAGAAAATATTTCGAATGTGTTTGAATAAATTACTCATTCATTGAGACGAAGCCTTGGCCAGTATTTAAGAGGTTATGTTACGTTCTTGGAATGTGCAATTGCCCAGTCAGGTCGCATTCCATGTTCTTTACCTTAGATAGAGGTATTGCGTAATCGGATTTAACGGAGGCTACATACTGTCTTGGCATGAAAAACTTTCTAAACGTACCTGCCTTTGACCAGCTGTGGTTCAAGATCCACTCGAACGCCTTTGATTCTGATAATAGGGACCTTAAGATACCCTGGACGCGGCGGTAAAGAGAACAGAGAAAGCCTGGAGCGAGGACGCCGCCACCTTCGCGGGAAAAACAAATTAAGATTGAGCAGGTTGGGTTGAGTGCTCGCCTGACGAGAGAGGATAAAGTAATGCTTTCGTGTTTTAATTCCATGACGTCTTTTAGAAAAACTCGTGAAGTCTTCCTTGATTGATACCTTAACGATCTTTTATTGGAGGAAAAATTTGTGCTGCCGGCTATGACTCCAGTTTCTCTAAAACAAAACACAAATTTCTTCGAGGGAAAATTGAGGGTATGATCGGAGTTCAGGTTATCAGCTATTTGTTGCCAGACTTTTCCGCTTTCTGTTGTTCTAGATCTTGCTTTAAGACGATATGGTTCTGCTATGAGAACTTCCCGTACCAAGGCAAGATTTTGATCTTCAGACCGCTCCATCGCTGAACTGAAAGTGAACGAAATAGATTTATAAAAGTTAATAATTGAACCATGGCGTCTTGTTCAAGATCTCAATTTTCTCCGACATGTTCAAGTTTATTACAAGCCTAGATTTTTGTTTTCCAACAATTTTTATTCGACTTCTCGTCTCTTAAATTTTTCAAATACTATCCTAAAGCGAGAACGTTGTCCCCTTAAAAACAAGCAGTTATAGTGTTACATTTGTGTCGAAAGACTCAGCGCTTTCATTCTCAGTTGCCGCCAAAACACAGAACCCAAAAGGCTTGATAGCAAAAAAATAAGAGTCAATCTTGAGAGAACACCACACTAAAAACACTTAAATGTGTCTCTTGAAGTAAAATGGATCGAGAATCCTGTACGAAAAGCAATTTCTGCACTGAAAACAAGAAAACCAACTCACCGTATTACGAGGCGGCTGAACTTCTAGTTTTCACCGTCGCGACTTCAGGTCGACGCTGTGGCATTATGCTAATTAGTTCCAAGAATTGAACATTTCAC